AGAACCATCAAACTTGATTATGGTAACCTGAAAAGGGTTGTTATCAGTCATACTAACAGCCCCCTTAGCAGCACCCTCTCCTGCAGGTTTTTGTTCACTCCCAAAGAACTCCATGCTGAGTCCAACACAAAGAAGTACAAGAACACACTCGGCTCCCTTTTTGAATAAAAAACGATGAGAGAACAGAGGAGAAGCAACTACCCAGTCCAAAAAATTTCAGGAAAAAAATAGCCGCAACCCTCAGAGATTTCAAAAACCCTACTCGGTCCAGTAAATTCCAAAAAGTAGCCGCACCTCTCAGGTTTTAGAAAAACCTACTTTCAGTTATAAACTTCTGGAGAGTTGAAAAAAAACAACCCAAAAACTTTTGGGCGAAACCTTTAATCCGAGATTTAAACCCTAAATCTCACCTCAAAAAGAGTTTTCTCTGATTCTTCCTGACTGCTGGGAAACTCCAAGAACAGAAACGTCCTGGGCAAGGTTTCGAACTCCACTAATCTCCAAGAATTAGGCCACAAACAGAACTAAAACTCCAGCCCTATTAAAATCTCATGTAGCCGGTTGGGAAGAGCCTACATGAGATTCTCGAGCAGAACTAAACCTGCTCTAATGCCAACATGAAGTTACTGTTGTTAGCAGAATTTCTGGGTAGAAGAGAAAAACATAAATCAATAGGAAGAAGAGAAGGGAGAAGAAGAGAAGAGAAAAGAAGGGAGAAGAAGAGAAAAGAGAATAGAAGACGAACAAGAGAGGAATGGGCAAAAATCACTTACTACTGCCCAAGGCAGTATTATTTATATGTTTAACATAACATTAGGTAAAAGGACAAAAATGCCCTGCTACCTATAACAGTACAAGAAAACAAGCATAAAGCCAAAAATAAGAAATAAAAGGCTGAACTTATGGGACCACACATAAAAAATATCAGGTCTGGTCCACTGTATCACTACAAAGCATACACACCCAGTGTTTTAAAAGCGCAAGGCGCGGGGGTCAATTTGCACCTGAGGTGCAAGGCGCGCGCGCCTTTTTGAAGCAAGGTGCAAAAATACAAAAAAGGGCTAAAAAATAAAAAAAAAAATGTCAGAAAATTCAAAACAAATGCCCCAAAAAATAAAAATATTAAACATAATACTACTAAAAAATATAAAGTTAAATTTTAAAATAATGTTTTAAAAAACCTGTTATCTAAAATTAAAATATATAAACATGAGATGTAAAGCATATTCAAATGAGAATTTAAAAATAAAATCAAACATATAAAACATTTTCAAGCATGTAAAACCACTAATCTCTTTTTTCACTTGAGGGGTGTGGCATGGGGGTTTGGGGACGGAGCCCCCAGCCCAGCTGTTATGTTCAAAAAACAGCAAAAAAGTGCCAAATTTTCAAAAGGCGCACGCCTGGGCTGAGGCGTAAGGCGCATCAGGTGCATGCCTAGGCACACCAGGCATGCACCTTTTGAAAGGGCTGCGCCTAGGACCTAGGCGAGGCGCATACCCTGAATTGTGCCTTGCCTGTGCACCTAGGCACGCCTCAGGCGCACCTTTTAAATCACTGTACACACCCGAAAATCCTAGGAGTAAGTGGGAATGGAGACAAGGTAGGAAACGAAATGGTAAAAGGGGAATGACCTTCAAGGATGGGCGTGGGCATCCAGTTAATCAGGAAGCAAGATGTAAGCACAGTATCACTCCAAAAATGTTTGGGTGCATTCATATGGTGCATAAGGGATCGAGCAGTTTCAGTTGTGCTTCTTTTTTCAGTCCTTGTCCTCTTCTGTTCGTTCTCCTTCACCTTTCCCAGTTAAAGAAATTTGGTGTAGCCTGATCCCTCCAAAGGTGGGCGTTTTTTTGTTGGAAGGTGTTCCAGGGTGTTGCAGAGTGTTCCATGGTGCTATTAATATACCCGTCCCCAAACTGGTATTTATTTGTGTGACTCTAATGTTGAAACAGCTTATCATATTCTTGTCTCCTGCTCATTTACTTCTTGTATTTGGGATTGGTTTCTCTCTTTGGTTGTAGCAGGTGGAACACCCCAGATGGTTTGGACAGGTTGTTTGATCCTTCCACTTTTGGATGGCCAAAAAGAAATCTTAGAATTTATGAGGAGAAGAAAAGAAGCCAGGGAAGCTTTGATAGAAGGGATTATGGTAAGGATGGCACATTGGGTTAAGGCTTTGAGTCTATTGTCAGACTTTACCTTTGATGTTGTCTGAAAATGGGGGATAATTGAAGCTTCATCTTCTTCAAAGAAGAAACTATTAAAATCTTGGGATACACCTTAGAATGGCTTCCTTAAATTAAACTTTGATGGAAACAGCTTTGGCAATCTGGGTTCCTCTGGTATAGGAGGGGTGATAAGAATGAAAATGGAATAATATTGGAATTATATTCAGGTCCTCTTGGCTTTGGGGATTCCACAACAGCTGAACTACAGTAATGTTTGGGGTGCAAAAGCTTCAGAACTAGGAGTGAGAAAGTTAACAACTGAAGGAGATTCAAAAGTAGTCTTAAGTTGGCTGAAACAGATTGAAAAGGCTCCATGCTACTTCAAGAATGAGATCAAAAAGTTTAGAAGACTGTCAAGAAATATGCAGCTGGTTCCAAGGTCGGCTAATAGCTTGGCAGATCAGCTAGCAAAGCAAGGGGTTAACAGCTGTCCATCCAGTAGGTTCTAAGTTCTTGGTATTTCTGTTTTTGTTAGTTTTTAGTTAAGCTTAATGGGGTAGCTGAGGCTATCCAAAAGGTTGTATCTTCTTTTTTTCCTTTTAACTTAATAAATTGCTTTCTTGGTGCTGATAAAAAATTGTTAGAGGACTTAATGATAGAATAATTTTAATAGACTTGTTTTAGGTGAGAAAATCATCAACATAATTAGTGTTTATGCATCCAAGTAGATTTATAAGAGAGAAATAAAACACAATTTTGGGAAACATAGAAGGATTGACCCAAGAATTTCCAAATGAAGAGAAGATATTTATAGCAGGAGACCTAAATGGCCATGCAGGGAAAAAAGTACAGGGTATTATATGGTGTGTCATGCATGGAGGATTGGGTTTGGGGAGAGGAATGAAGTAGGAAGTAACAATTTTAAAATTTGCAATAGCTTTCAATATGTCAATAGTAAACACATTTTTCAAAAGGAATGGTGAACACTTAATAACATTTAAAAGTGGACCAAACATAAGTCAAGTGGATTTTTTCCTTGGAGAACAAAATAAATGATCTTTAAGGATTACAAAGTTATTCCAAGAAAAACTTAAGTAAACAACATAGATTAGTGGTGGTAAATGTGCACATTAGAAATAGAGAAGAAAATGCGCCCAAGAATTAGGTGGGAAAATCTAGATGAGAAAAACTACTACAATTTAGAGACAGACTAGTATTAAGGGAAAAATGGAATTTGAATGAAAAGACTAATAATATGTAGCTTGAAATGGATAATTATATAATGGAAGTAGCAAAGGGCATTTTAGAGAATTAAAAGGGAAATGGTGAAGTGCTAAAGAAACTTTGTGAACTAGACACTAAAAAGAGAAAATGAATTTATAAACTAGCATAAACAAAATAAAGGAAAAGAAGAGATTTAAACCATGATTGGTGCATTATAAAGGAAGATCAAGACAGACTTGGTAAAAGATGAAGAAATCAAGGAAATATGGAAAAACTATTTTCAAAAAATTATTAAATGAACAACACGTAGAGTTGAAGTACTATGTTAGGAACCTGCCCAACTCAGGGCTCTTCGAGGGGCCAACCTCCTGAATTCTTGGAAGGAGAGAGAGAGAGAGAGAGTTTAATGCTGAAAGAGTCCTCCCTTATTCCTTTTTGGCTCTACTACTTGTAGTGTTACAGCTGTTACAAGTGGATGGCAGTTGTGACAAGTGGCTGCTGATGTGGCCTCTTCTTGTAACTGACTAACTGCCTTTTGTTGGTCTGTTCCAATAGTCTTGACAGTCCAATTGGGTGGCAGTTGTTACAAGTGGATGGCGGTTATTACAAGTGGCTGGTTAGTGGCCTCCTCTAGTATGAAATGATTTAAGTGCTCATAATTTATCAATTGATATGACATTAAATAGAACAGAATGGCAAAACAGGATTCATGTAGCTGACCCCATATAGTTGGGATAAGGCTTAGATGATTATGGAAGGTCATCACTGCTGCTATGTTTTGGACCATCTAGTGGGAAAAGGAGCTCTGGAATCTTTGATAACTCTGGTAGCCAGGAGGAGTTGATAAGGAGGGTAGCATGGCGTATTGCTTCCTAGCTCTTAGTGAGGTGTCTTTTCAGGGGTGCACCTATCTGTTCAATATTAAAATCCGAGGTTTGGTTTTCTTAATATTTTGGGGATTAATTTGTAATGATCATGTATAGGCACTCACTAAATTCTAAATATGAGGACCATACCCTATACAGTTTCCTTATATTAATGATATCATAACTTATCTTTCTCAAAAAAAAAAAAAAGAAAGAAAGAAGGAAATAATTGCTTATTACTCACTAATGCCATTTCTAATATGGTAAGCCTTTTTCGTTTATCAGTAACAGTGAAAATATTTTATTGATTTAAATAGAAATATAGTGTATAGCAGAGTGATAAGTTTTTTGAGTCAATTTCAATCTCCCCCTCCCCCCCCCCCCGCCTTTGTGCAATCACTTTTTGCTGTTAACCCCTATCTTTCCAATCCATCCGTTTAGCCCATTAGCTGACCAAGATGACCACTGTATTCTTCCTCCCAAATTCTTTATTATTTCTTTAGCTTCTCTGATTTTCATATCTATGATTCCATGGTCCCCTCTTAGTGCTGCCCAGAAAACCTGTTTTGACCCTAAAGAGTCCCCTAATAATGTGAAACTTTCAACTTAGTAACAATTTAACCATTTCATCTACCCTTCATGCTCTCTAGATATCTTTATATCTTCCCTCTATTAGTATTTTTGTATTGCTTGATATAAATGGACCATATGATTTGCTTTAAATTTAAAATGGTTTCAGGCTGGATCAGGGGAATGCACATGTGGCGGGAAGATTCTAAAAGGGATGTCTGTAAAACCAGTCAAAGGAAATGCAGTGCTATTCTGGAGCATGGTCTGTTTCTTTGTATCCCAGTAGACTAGTTAATTTAAGCATATGCTGCAAGTTAATCTAAGATGACAATAAGTATCTTTAATGAGGAAAACAATTGATCTAGTAGCTTGGATTTTTCACTGTATTAATTTACTAGTTGCTTATTCAGGAATTGTTCCATTGGTTGAAATGATCTCATAGAGTATGTTGTCATGCTCAGCTCAGTATATCTCTCCTTAAGTAATATAGAAGCCTTTATTCCCAAGTATCATTCTATGTTTACTTGGTTCTCTTGTACCTAAATATCCTTGGGGTCTTTTTAAAGATTAGCTTGGGTTAACACCAAGTCTCTTAGGTCCTTTTGTCTTACACTCTTATAGGGACAACTGAGTGACACATGACTTTGGTTTTGGACATAGTTGGATTATGCCGTTGTGGCAATGTACTCAATAGAATTAATTTTTTGATAAATAACAGAAGCATTTCATTAAAATAATGGAGATAAACTCTCTTACTAGAAGAAGAAAAGGGAGAGATAAACTCTCTTAACTCTTCCAAAACAGAAAAAAAAAATTACCATGTTGCCCAAAAAAAACTAATTTCTTCCCACCCCTTGTTTAGCCAAACAGTCAACAAAAGAATTAGCATATCTTTTCACCCATTATATGATGACCTTTGTTGAGTTGGGCCGATTTCTAGTTATTGGGCCCAATTATTTATCTTTTATTTTTAAGTTGTTAAGTTAGGAAGTTATTGGGCTTTAGGCCCATTAGTTTATGTTTTTTAAGTTGTGACTGTTAAGCTACTCAAGTAGCCGCCCTACTGAAGGCATTCTTGTATTCTCTTATTCTTTTGATTTGAGTATATAATACAAAGAGAGGTTGGCGGCCAGAACTAATTCAATTCTGGTTGACATCCCACTCCTTTTCTTCTCTCTTCTCTCTTCTCTCTATTGCTGAAACTCTTCATCTTCTTCTTCTTTCTCTTCACAGGGAATTCATCTAAAACTGTAATCAGTGATTTCTACTTGGTATCAGAGCAGGCCGAAGGTTCCTTGAGCTGTTCTATAATGCAGCCCTAGATCGGCCGACTGCATGGTGATTTGAGAGGCTGATCGAAGATCTTAGGTAAGCTTAGTTTTTGGATTTTTTGGTGGATCTGTTTTGCCCTGTAGCTGGTCTAGGGTTTCCCATCAAATTCAGGAAAAACTAGAGAAAGGGGGAGAGTCATGTTTCTGTTTGACTCTTCAATTTTGACCTAGGAAGTGGTGCCCTAATTTTTTAGGGTTCCTTGGAGTTTTCTGAAGGGGGCGGTTCAAGTCCTGCTTGTTTTGGAGGTCTCTGAAGAGAAAGGCTGCCTCTTATCTTTTTTCTCCCATCCTACAGAAAAGGAATCTTTTGTGAGAGGATCATTTAGGGCACCAGAAGGGTGTTGGTGGTACTAGAAGTGATTTATTTGATATTCTTTCATCTTATAGTAACCTTCTAATCCCTTTTGAGAATTATGGAGGGTAACGGAGTTGAAAACAAACCCGGGAGTGAAATGAGACCAGTGGAAGGAGGTGTTGGAGACCTTTCCGAGGTTGGGACCATTACTATAGTTAAGTTGGATGGTTCAAATTACTTAGAATGGTCAACAATCTGCAAAGATGGCCACTAGTGCTCGCGGGAAGTTAGGGTACACCACTAGTGAGGAAATGAAACCCGAAACTAACAGCTCCCGGTGGGTACAGGAAAATTATATGGTGATGACTTGGTTGTGTAATTCGATGCTGCCCCATATAAGTAAGAATTTTTTGTAGTCAAATACAGCTAAGGAAATATGGGATGGGGTTGTAGAAACCTACTCACAGAGTGAGAATGTTGCTAGGACCTATCAGTTGAGGAATCAAATTATTGCTACAAGGCAGGGAGATAGACCTATTGTTGTTTACTTTTCAGCCCTTGAAACTTGTGGTAGGAGATCGACCATCTGGAGACAGTTGTTTGGGAAACCACTAAGGATGCAGCTACCTATCAGAAACTCCTAGAGAAGTATAGGGTTTTTGAATTTCTTGTTGGCCTTAATCATGAGTATGATATTGCAAGACAGCATATTCTTTCTAGGGACAGTGTTACTCTCTCCCAGGCATATGCCTTTGTATCAGGGGAAGAGAGCAGGAGAAATGTGACGATGAAAAATTCTGGTTTTGATCAATCAGCCATGGTTAGCACCGTGAAACCTAAACAAGGTGGAGAACCGGGGTGTCAGTGAAATCAGGAAGGAAGACAAAAAGGATTTGATTTGTGACTACTATAAGAAGCCTAAACACACAAGAGATACCTGTTGTAAGCTTCATCCTCATCTTGTGTCGAATAGACTCAAAAAAAAGAAGGGAAATGCTCACATGGCAGTCACTGGTGACATACCGGCCCCTCCTACTATAGCTACTCTGGAGTCTACTTCAGGAGTCTGCACCCTTGTTGGGGGTAACCTAGTCTCGTGGAAAAGTAAGAAACAGACAATGGTGGTCAGATCAAGTGCAGAAGCTGAATACAAGGCCATGGCACATGGAGTTTCAGAACTTCTCTGGATTCGTTCCTTGTTAGGAGAGATTGGTGTAAAGGCCAAACCTATGATGTTGTACTGTGATAATCAGGCAGCAATTAACATTGCCCATAACCCAGTTCAGCATGACCGAACAAAGCACATTGAAGTGGATAGACATTTCCTCAGAGAAAGGGTGCTTCTGGGGAAGTTTGTCTCCCATACATTGCTTCTGATTTGTAGTTTGTTGATGTTCTCACAAAAGGTGTTCCGAAGACTAAGCTGGAACATGATCTACGCAAGTTGGGAATGTGTGACATTTACTCCCAACTTGAGGGGGAGTGTTGAGTTGGGCCGATTTCTAGTTATTGGGCACAGTTATTTATCTTTTATTTTTAAGTTGTTAAGTTAGGAAGTTATTGGGCTTTAGACCCATTAGTTTATGTTTTTTAAGTTGTGATTGTTCAGCTGCTTAAGTAACCGCTCTACTGAGGGCATTCTTGTAATCTCTTATTCTTTTGATTTGAGTATGTAATACAAAGAGGGGTTGGCGGCCAGAACTAATTTAATTCTGGTTGACATCCCACTCATTTCCTTCTCCTCTCTTCTCTGTACTGTTGAAACTCTTCATCTTCTTCTTCTTTCTCTTCACAAGGAATTCATCTAAAACTGCAATAAGTGATTTCTACTACCTCCATGTTTTCTATTAGACTTCTCAAAGATGTAGCCCCACTAACCAATATCCTCCTCTTTTTGCAGCCAATTAATAACAAACTTGGAATCTCATTCAATCACCAGCTTCTTGATAAGTAATTCCTTAGCCTTTTTTACTCCTTCCATCACAGCCATTATTTCAGCCCTGAAACAGTCACCCTCCCCAGTTGAGCCCAGAAAAAGAGCAAGGACTCTACTGCCCTCATCCCTAAATACTCCACCTATACCTGGAGGACCTGGATTTCCTTCACTGCTTCCGTCAAAGTTCAACTTTATGAAGCCTCCATTAGGTGGTGACCACAAAGACCTAACCCAAGCCTTAAAGGAGGAAGAGCAATCAATCTCAAACCACTTCCTCATCAAATTCTCAATAGAAAAATCCTTGAGAGATTCAGAGGCTTCACCCAATGAACCACCCTAATAGTAATTATTTCAATTAAAGAACTCCTGCTTCTCTCCACTCCTGAGAGAATTCTTTTGTTCCTTTCTTTGCAAATCATCCAGCACAGAACAGCCCTTGTACACCTCCAAGTGGTTCTCCCCCTCTTCTTTGGCCAGCTAATCATGTTGGGGGGAAATAGGATTTGTATAGGTGGGGGGTTCGACCTTGGTCTAAACAAAGAAGAAAACCATTCCGAGAAAGAGCAAAAAGGGTAGGAGATTAATAAGTGAAAGCGAAGTCTCACCCTCAGCTTTACAGAGAGAACACCAGTGGGGTGGGGTGGGGGGATAATGACTAATGAGGTCTTTTTCGCTGGAGCAAATCACAGATATTAATTCTTTCTATGTACACTTTCCAGCAAAAACAGCAACTCTAGGTGGAATAGGTCTACTCCAAACATCTATAACCGGAAAAGGTAATCTATGCTATCACTTGGATGTATTAAGGACCTAAAAAAAGAGACACATGTTGTGAGGGATCCAGAAGGTGTCCAAACTCAACTATCCCTTTTTAGAGGATTTAAGACTTATTTCTAAGGACATTGGAGAAGAGTCAAAACAGTATTTATTTCCGATTCATGAAGAACCCTTCTAAAAACCAAGTCCTAATCAATTCTAGACCTAGAGTTGGAATGAGTTAAGAAAGAGGATATCTGTTCATCCCTACGGTTTGACAAGGCAAATAAGGATGGAATTGTTCCTTCAAGGTTGAATTACCCAACCAAACATGTTCCTAAAATTTAATATAGTTCCCAATGCTAGGACTATACCTGATAAAAGGTAGAAATGATGGAAGGATGTCATGAATGGATTTCCAAGGAGAAGCTCTTGTTGCTTATTCTACACTCTAGAGTCCCAACCTCCAGCCGTAAGTCCATGAACGCTAATGGTTACTTTTGCCCACACTTTGTACCTATGAATTGGCAATCTCCACAACCATTTTTCAACAAGGCCATGTTCTTTTCTTGAATATTCCCAACTAGGTCACCATATTCTTTACTTCTGACTATCTCCCAAGTAACCCCGTGATCCTTTTTCTTCTCCCCTGGTTCCCATGAAAGTCCCTCATCAACTTTTCCAATCTTCCGATCCCTTGTGGAATTCAAAACACTAACATAAAGTAGATGGGAAGATTAGGCAAAGTGGACTTAATCAATGCAATCCTTCCACCCAAAGATAAATAATTGCTTTTCCAAGAAGCCAATTTCTTAGTAAACCTTTCTACCATGGATTCAAAAAGTTGCTATTTCTTCGACTATCCCCCAAAGGTAAGCCTAAGTAATAAGTAATTCATGGGCCACTGAGAAATCACACATCCTAAAACTTCTGTCCCTTCTATTATTTCTCTCTCATCCATATTCAATCCCACAATGCAACTCTTTTCAAAATTGATTTTCATATTAAACATCTTCTCAAAGACTTGTATTATCAGTTTTAAATTCCTAACCCAACTCAGAACACCTCCTCCATAGAAGAGAATTGTATCTTCCACAACCTACCATAGTCAGTCTTCATGATTAGTCTCCCAAGAACATCAACAATTAGAGTAAAAAGAAAAGGCAGAAGAGGGTCTCCTTGCCTTAATCCTTTGAGGGCTGGAAAATGTCATAGGCTTTCTCTAGATCCAGTTTACATACTAAACCTTTCTTCCAAATCCTTTTCATCTCTTCAACACTCTCATTGGCAATCAAATTCTTGTCAATGATTTTAATAATCTGATCGGATCTGGATGTTAAAACCTGCATCTATTTAATAATCTGATTGGATGTGGATTTGACCATATCGATCTGACAAAATCTGAGTCCGAGTATATGTAATATGAGAGAATATATATATATATATATATATATATATATATATATATATATATACACACACACACACACACCCAATTACAGCCTTAATGAACAAAGGTCTAGGAGCCCGTTGGTTGCCTGGAAAACACCATTTTTCTACCAAACCATCAGATTTTCCCTTTTGGAGGAAAGCTAGAGGCATATATCTATTAATAACATGAAGATACGTTCTGATGATTTTCACTAAATATACAATGTTATCCAAATCACAAGAAAAGCAAATTATTCTCTTTTTATTTGCATAAAAATAAATTCTTCAGAATCTTTTGCAATGCATTCAAGGTAACTGTTAGATTAGCATGATCAAACTTTTATTAGCTTTAGGATAAAACTTCGTTATTTTCCCTTTGATAAATTATCTCTACATTTCAGTTGAGTCTATGCTGTAAACTAATGGCTATTTATCGAATTTGGATCAAGAACACCTTGCATCCCTGATTCCAAAATATGATTTTATTGAACTCTTTTGTTTTCTTCAGGGGCTAGATGGACAGTCAGATCCAAATAGTATACATGGAGGATGTGAAGTGTTGTCAGGAGAGAAGTGGTCTGCTACAAAATGGATGAGACAGAGAATTGCTTCTTGATTCTTTGTCAAGTGAGCTGTCCTTCCCCCTTCCTTTCCCTGGAAAAGAGAATAAAGAAAAGAAAGAAGAGAAAGTATACGTATAGCTTTTTGCTTTACGATTGGTTATTTTGTATGCCGGTCCAGCTCTGAGAATTGTTTCATGTGAAGCACATAATTCAATTGAATATTATAGCTTTCTAGCTTTAGATTATTAGTGTTACAATTTAGTAACTTGAGCCAATGTTAAGGTGAAGATGGTGAATTTTCATTGGATTTTGTTTTGTGAAACAAAAATAATTGATTTTTTAATATTTAAAAATATATAAAAATGAAAAATATACAAAAAATAGTTGCCTTTTGGTTCTTAGAATGGCAAATTCCACACATCGGATTTCCTGCCCACCGGAGTCTACTCGTACTCATAAGACACTGCAGCCGGTAATTTCTATTGAAACCTTACCAAAAGCCACACCTTAAGTCGCCTGTAATTTATGAATCATTTCACCTACATATGAACTATAATTTAGGATTCCTTGTGAACCCCATTTAACTTCCGTAGGCTTTTGTCAACCAAGTATTATAGTTTTCAAAGCACCTGGGCGAGGCTAGGCAGCAGGAGGATGCAATTTCGTGTAGTTGCCTAGGTGATGATACTTTTCATAAGAAAAGTATAAGCTCGTGTTGAAGTATGGAAAATCAAGAGAAGAAAAAGAAAGAAAAACTTAAAAAATGTAGGGGCAGAACCCTTAGGCTCAGTTTGGAAAGAGTATATATGCAAATATGTACAGCATAAATACATACAAAATAATACAAAATATAAGGTTTTGCACTCTACATATTTGCATTTGTAGTCCTTTCAAACTCAGCCCTATGTTTGTTATAGCCTTATAGGAAAAGAATAAAAGAAATGGTGAAAGAAGATTGTATCGATTAGACAATTTCAAGTTCTTTTATTGGTTCAGGTTTTAATGTCTTTGAGGGTTTAAAAAATATTGGTTCAAGTGTTGATTTTTTTTTTTGGCTTTAGGTTCTAGTGTTGATTAAACTCTAATAAATATGAAAATAATAAAAACAAATTAGTATATATAAACACAATGAATCCATTATTTGGATGTGCCAAGTGAAAATGGATGGAATCTGAGATTTGGAAGTGTGCACCGTTCTAGGCTGGCATTGTGCACTTTTGCGGGCTACTTGCATGGTAGCGAGCCATGCCATGTTGACACGCAAGCCTCAGCAAGCTCAACATGAATCCCCCAAGAGGGGAGATCGGTACAACCCAAGGCCCAAGCCTTAGTGGATCCATGCCATGTTGGGTTGAGCCATAGGCCAACATGACTTATAAGAAAAATTGAAATAAGAACATAATGAAAAATTAAAATAAATTAACAAGACAGACAAAAAATTAAAAAAAAAATCTTAAAATTTTATTCCATATGAATTAATGTGCACAATTGTTTATATATGAAAAAATAAAATAGAATTGAAAAAATCACATTAAACTTGGAACAAAATAGTATAATAAAATTGAAAATAAAAATTCATATACCAATAATAATAATAATAATAATAATAATTATTATTATTATTATTATTTTAAATGGCTATAATATCATTTGATCTAATTGAGAGACTTGTAGAGTTTTAGTGTAGTACTATTGTAAACACTTAGAATCATAGGGATAACTCAAACTCAGACACTTACACTCAAACTTTCTTAACTTAACATTTAGGGGGTTTTTTTTTCTGGATTTGGAGAGGGGGGGAGGGGGCAAGTTGGTCAATGGGATTTTGGTTCCCATTGACCAAGAATCCCATGTTCTTTTTTCAACTTTATGTGGGGATCAGGGAAAGCTTTTTTCTTGGGTATCACTTACCCAAGAAAGTGATACCCATCTCCTAGGTGGGTAAATAACTTCTCCACATAGGGGGAAAATTGTCAATACTTGAATGGGACAAAAAATGTTATTTTAATAATGGATTTTTATAGCTAAACTGGTCATTGCCTTATTTACCTGAGTAATAAAATAACATGGGTAAATACACTTACCTGTGTAAGTGTTTCACAAGAAAATCTTATCCAGATAATTGTATTTACCTGGGTAAGTAACTTACCGTAAAGTGAATGGGGCCTTAGATATCTTACAAGCTACAACGTTAAGGGATACCACAAGAGGGAGAAGACAATCATAGGTTTTTACAAAGAGGAAATGTTATAAGGAATTTTTCTATGACCCCCACCATCCCCTAATGACCCCTAATGTTATAAGCTTTTAGAGAGATTCCTCCTTATCCAATGCCTTGTTTTGAGATGTCTTATCTAATCATACTATTCAGGATTATATCTATTAGACTCTTACAAGATGTTATTGTTGATGATAAGAGGGAATCCTTTTTTTTCTTATTTGTTGGTAACTTTACTTTTTTTCGGTCATAGTGGCTCTATTTCTATATTGCATCCGTGTTAGATTTTCTACCAGATTCTTTACGCCCGTCATTTATTCTTTTGCCTAGTTGAAGAATCATTTCAGAGAGTTGTTGTATCATCATGTTAGGGAGTTTTTCTTGTAAATATTATTGGAATGATTCGAATAGAGTCTGGAAGATATGTTCTTTTGGCTGTGTTTGGTTGGAGTACGAATACAAATTTGTAGAATGCAAAACAAAAATGGTTGGTTCATGTGAATGCAAAGTGGTTCAAGATTTACACATCCACTTTGCACTCAGTTCATTTGTTTTGAGAGATGCAAATAAGAATACAATTTTTGTGGATGTTTGGCATTTTCATCAATGCAAATATAATTGTTCCTTGCTACCAAATGGTGTTCCAGCTACTCCCACCATTAAACAAATATAAAAAATAAGACCATTAAATAAATATAAAAAATAACAAAAATCCTTTTGTTAGAGACTTCTTTTTGAAATTACAGAATCTAGCAAATCTCTTGCTGAGTGCAGTTTTGAAAGTAAGAGTAGGCTCAACTTCTTCTGGTTCTTCTGTTGAAATACAAGGGCAGACATAAGAGCTATAGCTTGATCTGGTTCCAGATCATCCAGTTGGTTCTCAAACAAACATTTGTGCATATCAACTCTTCCCCAGAATTCATTTCACATGCAACACGTTCCTTGATCTGAATTACAAGATCAGCATCTATGCAGCCAATTTCCTTCGGTAAATCAATCTGCAAAAGCATTAATATGTTATAAAAACTTCAGTTACCATGTATCATTGCTTCTAAGATGATTTCACACTAGACATGATATAAATATGAACACCATTTTCTACCAGATTAGCTGTGGGCATAAGAATGCAGGCAACAAGTGTTCTAGGAGATAACTAACATTTGAACTTCCACAAGGATAATCGGTAATATGAATATGTTTTTCACTCTTCTTACCCAACAATCAAGGTTGATGGGTTGCCTTCCACAACTAGCTTCTTCATATTGAAACCATAAAAATCTAAACAAAGACATCATACTGAAGTAGGAACTCAATTACAAGTATTTGTCAATCTATATGTATCGGCATAAATTTATTGACAAAGTGTAAAATGAAAAATAGGACCCATTTCACATTTCCATGCCTAAAATACTCTTCTACTTCATTTTTAACAGCCCAATAGACCAAGATACTTACCAAACAGTCTTAGTCTTTAAAGACAAGCTCCAAAAAGCTCATCATGTCTTTTGGCCTGCTGGGCTATCGAAAGAACTACTAAAAAAGAATTGCAAAACAGCCTCTATGATTTTGATGCAGGAAATTCCCCAGGTAAGAACCACTACAAAATTAGTAGGTCCCAATTACAATGCATGTATAAACAAGTCAAACAAAAATTCCATTTCTGAATACAAATGATTACTAGAATTCAAAACTAAATTTTTTTTGCCACCTCCATGCCTGTGCAATGGATGCCCTAAAAAGAGATTAGTTGTTCTTCAGATTATACATGGTTCTTCAAAGAAATACATTTTCTCATACATACATCCAATCTTTCTCCCATATAACATACTTTTATTGGTTATATACACATATATAATAGAGGAAGTTAGACATACCCGGAAGACATCATCCAGAGGAAACCTTTCTGTTTTCCCAGACAGCAAGCTTGGCCGAACTTCTATGACAAGTACCTCCCACTGGACCAAATTTCACAAAATGAACAATGTTATGCAAAAGAACATTGCTAAACAGCACTAGAGAATAAGCTATGAGAATGTCAGTAATATAAATGAACATGAAAGCTTAAAAAATAAGAAATCCAATGCAAATGAATTGTGTGGGTTAAAATAATAAAAGAAGTAAATAAGAATAATATAAAATCCAGACCTATAACAAACTTCCCTGAAACGTTATTGAAAATGGCTTGACAACTGGATGTGTATTGTATTTCTTCTCTAATTAATGAAATCCATAATTCATCACCATCATCATCCAAGCCTTATTACAACCATATCAGGGTTCCACTATGATATGGGAAAAATATGATATCTGAAAAACTTCTGACCAGTCAACCGGAATCATAAACATGGTAGCCAATTAGGTGTTACTTATCAAAACTCATGGGTGGGTTTTGATTGGTCAAAACTCTTCCTATACCGTATCTTTTCCGCATCATAGATTTTCCCAGACAAAAAACATGTACAACAAGTTGCTGTATACAGGGGTATAAACAATCAATATACATATAATCCTAAAACCCCACATCCTGCTTTACAAAAAGATTATCATATACAAAAAAGGAATTAAAATTTCTCTCCCTGAATAGTTTGTTCGTAGTAAGCCAAGAAAACAATTTCCCCAAGATTTTCTGGTATGCTGTGTCTACTGAGCTGCTCTTGTTTTTGAAAATCCTTGCATTTCTCCTTCCATACACCAAGAAACTGCTGCAAGAGCAATTTTCCACACCACCTTTCCCCTCTTAGTTAGACCTCTCCAGCTTTGTATAAAATCCACCACCAATTCTGGAATACAAGTTTTCACCTCAAATAATTTCCATATCTTTGATCAAGTCCCATGGGAAAATCTGCAATGTAACATTAGATGGCTAACTGACTCAACCTACCACTCACATAAAACGCAATTAGGGGACTCCAGATACATACTCTTCCTGATCAAGTTGTCCCTGGTTAAAATTATGTTTAGATAGGTAGTTCAAACGAAGGAAGCTACCTTTGAAGGGGCATTATTACACCAAACGATATTTACCGGAATGGCCTGATCCTCTGTTCTGGAAATGTAATTGTAGGAAGACTAGACAGTAAAAGCTCCAGACTTGGGAAATGTAATTCCCAGGAGCAGCCCAGCCCCTTCGAAAGTGAGAAAAACCCTCCAACACCCAACGTTCCAATGCACTTAATCAATCAAAAAGAATACGAAAATGATCCTCACACTTATCAGTCAAACTAAACAAGAATAAATCAACAGACAAGCAATAACTCTAGCATTCTTCCAAAAAAAAAAAAAAAAACAGACAAGCAAGAATTTATTCTTCACTCTCTAGCATTCTTTTCAGCCTGTAATTGGTCGGATTAATTTCAATTTGCAAGGGATAACACCATCGTATTGAAAGAAACAGTACCAACATAGAACCAATTGCATCCAAAACAGACTGAAATATGTCAAAACATAAAGCTAGGCATCCTAATTAGTAATTAGAAGGAGATGAGGTAGAAGGCAGAATGCAGTCAATGGAAAAATGGAAGTAGATAGCAAGGTAGATGGAACATTACCCAGAAATAAAGAGGTTAGGACTCTCTCTTAAAACAGAAAATCCAACAAATGGAAAAATGGATGGAACACGACCTAAAAACGAAGAGGTTAGGATTCTCTCAGAGGAAAACTGAACAAACAACAAAGTAGAGTGAAGGAAATCGGAAAATGAAGGTAGAACGGATTACCTCTATGAAAACGAAGGCAGTTCAGAGTCGTTCTACTCCGTTTTTACTCCGTTTCTCCTCTATCTACACCGTTTCTACACAGTCGCTCGCAGCTACCTTTGGCTCGCAGTTCAGAGTCGCTCGCCGTTCTCTTCTGTCTCTATTTTTCTTCGAGGGTTTTGGAGAAAAAAAATCAAAACCGATGCAACCACAATACCTATTTACTTCGACCGACGAATCGACGATAAGAACAAAATTTTCTTTTCTTTTTAAAAGCAATATTTTGTCCTACTTTCGATGCAAATATAAAAAAATATACAAATTTGCATCGAAAATCGATGCATTTTTGAAACCTAACCAAACGGATGCAAATCTGAACCGGAGTGCAAATTTGCAACGATTCAGATTTGCACTCCAACCAAACGCAGCCTTATATTAAGTCCTAAAAAGGTAAAATTATGACACATAGAACACTAGGACTTGATGATCTTTCCCTTTTTAACTCTTCATAGCAATCTTATTCTTTGGAGACTCACTTGATGATTGATAAATGCCCAACGGATCTCATTCCAATCTTTAATTCCTTAAAGTGGTTTATCGAACATTTTACCTCAATAGGATTAATTTGATACATCTACACACTTAACATTACTCATTAGTACTCTCAATGAATTTGTTATCATCAAAATACGTAGAATCAATAGCTATAAACCATTCATTCCCCACTATGATAATCACAATCTTTTCAAATTAGAGAATCAAAGAAACTGCCAAGCTTGTAAGTGAGTCTACTTTAGCAATTACCCCTCCCTAGACAGGGAAGATATATATATTTACCCTCCTAAATTGGGACATTAAGTAATTTGCCCTTTATGGTAGGGTACAAGATTGACACTTCTCACCACATATCCTCCTTCAAGTTGTTTCATGATAAATTCTAAATCTTGCCAATTCTTCAATTTGGATCTTGAGTGCTTCCAAACAAGTGATTGCAATCATGGACTTGAATTCGTCCTGGAATATCTCTTGTACATATATGCTAAATTCACATGGAGATGATCGTATTCTATAACAATTTATAGTAATATCGTTTTTATGGCTTCATCCGAAGTATCATTGATGAGAGTAATTATATGAATTTTCCTGGTTTGTCCATATAAATCCTAATCAGTCCTACCTGTCCTAAAAATACATTTTCCAAGCACAACTTGTAAAACTGTCTTTGCCATACTCTAGATATAATGCAAGGTTGCAACCGGTTGGTTGGTAAGGTCTTCAACTGGTTGTAGTGAAGACTTCAGATTGAATCCCAGATCTGAGGTTGGGGAGTTAGGCTATGTTTGGTTTAAAGGAAAATGTAGGGAAAGAAAGGGAAACCTTTACAAACATAGCCTTAGGGTTTGGGGGATGTATAGCCCCATGAAAAAAAAAAAGGAAAAAACTTGATTAGTATCTTGTACTTTGAACCTAGTTCTACTTTGGTCCCCATTAAAACGCGACAATTCAGTATCCAAACTTTTAAAACGTGTCAATCTAGTACCTTTTGTTAATGGTCCATCAGTTATGTGTTGTGCGATTTAAGACTTTTGAAAATGTCAAAATTACTCTTGAAAGTTCAGGTTTTAAAAACGTGTCAATGTAGTACCTTCCCTTGGGGTGGCCACGAGTTGCACTTCTCACGAGCTATTTGAGCTCAGCTTGTGAAAAGCTTGGCTCAGGTCGGTTTAAACCGAGCTTCGGACCAACCTTGAGCCCAATATATAGGTTTATTTGCTAACTGAGTTGAGTTCGAGCCTAGTGAAGCTCGGCTTCTAAGGGCTCACAAACCTAATTGAGCCTAGTATAATAAATAAATAATTTTTTTTATTACATACATACATACATACATACATACATACATACATACATACATACATACAACTCAGGGGCTAATGAAACTATTTTAATAAAATTCAACTGTCTCAATTACCGAGCGATCGCATAAAAACTCGAGTTCCTTTTAGATTTCCTTCTTGATCAATGACAACTGCTGCATTGTCATCATATCGTATTATCATACCATTGTCACGTTTGAGTTCTTTACATGTACGTACGATTACAACTCTAATCACTTCAGATTTTTCTAGAGGCATATTAGGCACTGCTTCTTTGGTTACAACAACAATAACGTCACCAATATGAGCATATCGGCGATTACTAGCTCCTATGATTCGARTACACATCAATTCTCGAGCCCCACTTTTGTCCACTACATTCAAATGGGTGTGAGGTTGAATCATATTTTTCATACATACGTACATACATACATACATAATATTTTTATTATATATGTATAATAATAACTTATACACATACATGCATATATATAATAATATTTAGTTTTTATGTACAATAATAAATCATTTTTATAATTCTTATTTTTTGTATGTAAAATATATATATATATACATATATAATTTTTATTTTTTAGAAAAAGCTTGACTTGCAATCGAGCTCGAGCCAAGCCGAGATCAAACTTCCAAGATTTTGAACCAAGCTGAGATCGACCTTTCAAGCTTTTGAACCGAACTGAGGTCGAGCTCGAGCCTAACACTATTTCAGCAACCCGAGCTCAAATAATCAAATATCTGGCTTAGCTTAACTTGAATCCATCCCTACCTTCCGTTAATGGACTGTTAATAGATTGGCATGTTTTGAAAGTTAAGTACTGAAGCATTTAGGATCAAAATGGCACTAGGCCCAAATTACAAGTCAAAAAATAACTGGCTATAATGATACGATGAACCTTGTGTTGACCAGATACACTAGTTCAACCGAACACACTCGAGTTTGCCCATCTTTACTTTATCTTACGAGCATACACGAGAGATAAAAAAAGGCTATTTCCAGTCTTGGGGAGTGAGGGTTTGGGGGATGTCAGATGTGTAGCCAAAAAAAATAAAAGAAAACTGGCTATAATGACACCTTGAACCTTGTTTTAATCAGATTCACTGGTTCAACCGGTCTTACCAAAAAAGACATTCCAGTTTGCCCCTCTCTACTCCCACCTTTACCTTGTCTTACGAGCATACACGAGAGATAAAAGAAAAAAAAAAGAAAAGAAAAGGCTATTTCCAGTCTTGAGATGCGAGAAAACTTTATTTACCGGCAAGAGACCATCGAGATGAGAGACATATCAGCAACACGGCGACAGACAAAAAGCAAAAGCAACTATCAAAAGCAAAAGTGAAAAGTTGAACTGTTGAAGATTGGAAGGACGGACCTCCAACCCCGCTTCCCTCTTTCACTTTCGGCAGAGTCTAAGAATTCTAAACTCCCCTCTACTGTTGTATTTCATTGGGTACAGTTTACATTTTCTTTGGGTTCCCAGAATCTCTCCTTTTAAAGTCTTCGCTTTTGTATAAATTCCCCCACGTCCGCGTCCCACCATAAATAACAAAAGACACTCTCTTTTTGTGTTGAGTTGAGCTCTATAAGTCTACCTCCATCTTTTGACTACTTTCACTCAGGCCAATATCGTCTGCACTTCCTCTTGCAACCACCATCACAAACAATGGATTTTGTAAGTAGAAGCAACAATCCCATGAATTACCCACCACCCGTTTTCTTCCATTTTCTTGATTCTTATTCAATATCTTCTTATTTTCTTGATTGTTCTTTGTTTGTTTAGGAACACAGAAGAAGCCACATTCCAGCATTTGGGAACTGGGACTACACAGATGATCTCCCAGTTACTCAGTGTTTTCAGTCAGCTAGGCAAGCTGGGTTGCTTTGCTATAGCGCCTCGTATGAACGAGATCTATACGTTATTGGCGATTTGTATGGCCACGATGATCTAGAGAAGCCACCCAGATCTCTTGTTGTTCCTCTCAAGGTCGGTAGCTAAATTCAAACATAGACTTTCTTTTTAATTTCTTTCCAAATGGGTGCTGTTTTTGATTTCTTATTCTTAAATTAGCATAAACGAATGCTCAGATCTCTTCTGTGTATATATGTATGGTTAATGGAAGAAAAAGCAACTGATCATGGTGGGAATCATACTGACTGAGAGGAATTAATGTAAAATGCAGACAAAGGGAACTGAAGAACGTTATACACAGCATGTTAACCAACAGAAAAAACAAGGTAGTGTCTATGACATGACAGAAACGCCATTGAAACAACAACCACCTTATCTTCACTCGCTATCATCACTACCACCACCACCCAGGGCTCCTAAACCTGTTGACGAAGATTTATACAGAATATCACCTGATCTCCTCTACAGCAAGCCTAAGAGGGTAAGTTGCCGGCCCCCACCCTTTCATTATTCTTCTTCTTCCTCCTCTCCTCCTCCTCCTGCTATTATATATTATAATTATTAGTTTTAATTTTGTTGTTGTTGTTGTTGTTCAATATATTGGGTTTGAGTTTTATTTCTTATTTTTCAGGTTTCCATGTGATTTATATATTTTGTCATTATTTATTTGTCCCTTTTTTTTTTTTTTGCAGAAAAGGATGTTTGAGTTCTTCTCAAGCTGCTTACTGCCCACTTGTGTTGTGTGAATATTTTTGTAAAGCTTTCCATGCTAGAATTCCACTGGAGTTATATACAAAGAGAAAAGTAGTGTTTAGGGTGATTTGTGAACCATTGAAAGGAAAATGAGAAGGCAGAGTTTTATTCTAATATCATTTGACTTAGTGCTTTGGTTTTTTAATGCTTTTTTTTGGCGGTTTTTTAATGTACAACGCACCTGATAATGCGCTTCCACAAAGGCAGAGTTTTATTTTGATTTGTCTTATGCTTGATTTTGATATTGAAACTTGAAAGTATGCTTTGCCGATTACTGATTTTTTTTATGCGCTCGAGATCTCCAGAATTTATTTGTAATCTTCTAAGGGAGGATGTTATGTAATATTGGAGTTTCATGCAATGGTATCAGCGTTAGGGTTTTCAGAAAAAAAAAAAAAACAAACAAAATAGAGAAAAAAAAGATATTGATGACTTTTTTTTTTTTTTTGCTGCAAAAAAGATATTAGTTGATGACTTGAAAGCAGGGAAAAGTGATGTAACTAGGGTTTTAGAAAGGCACTTATTCATAACCTAATATAATATATTAAGGGTCCATTTGGTTCTTGGTTGAAATCAGAATCGGAGTTGGAACCGGAATCAGAATCCCTTGATATGATCTATTTCCCTCATCTATTTAGTTTTTAGACTCGAATTGAAATCAGAATCAGAATTAGTTGGAATAGATTGTTATTCCTAGGAGAGGGGAGGGAATGGCTATTTACTCAAATAGAGAAATGCCATTCTACCACGAATGAGAATAGGATTCCAATTTTAACCAACCAAACAGCTAGAATCAGAATGGAGTCTAGACTTCTATTCCCACAAACCAAACAGACTCTTAAGAAAAGTGAGAGTTCCGAAAAAAGAAATTGAAAGGTTGTGATTATCAATAAAAGAAAAATGAAAAGTAGTTGGCATAAGGCAAAGTTGATCATTTAAACCTTCGTATGGTAGGGTCTAAAGCAACAGTCCTAAAAGTAAACAATCTGAAATTACTGCATGTGCTTTTAGCTTTTAAGAGAGAATGCACAGTTTTGATATAAAGAAATTAAGCATAAGTCCTTATAAAACCTACTTTTCTTTTTCTCTTTTGCTGTAACTTAATAGTATAGTAGCTTTACAATGTCCAAGGCAAAGGTATCACTTTTATAGAGTCCAGATTTACTAATCACAACACATTATTGGCCACGTTTACTCAGCCTCAGCCGCACATATGATATGAAACATCAGTTGTGTTGTGGTCACGGATATTCTCATCATGCGGTTAAATGAGTGTGACCAGCAATGTTTTGTGGTGAACAGATCCAGCAAACTCCTTTTTATCATTTGGGGTTCCTAATATGAAAGACACTACGTGCTTAGAAAAAATAAAGAGAAAAGAGTAATTAAAGATACTTTTTTTTTTTTTTTCCATTGTGGGGAGTAACATAATTAATGAGAAAGAAATAAAAAATAAAAAAAAAAGTAGAAAGAAGAAGAACCATTGGTATAGCTTTTACCAATAGAGGCAAGTGTTGGTACATATTGCAATAGTGATGGTTTCTTCTTTTAGAAACCATTAATTAGTGGTTTTTTCTCCCTATTTCTTCTTTTAGAAACAAGTATTTTAAGCAAAACATCATCTTGTTAATCATATATGCAAAATTCATTTCATTAAAGCAAAAGTACACATAACCCTAAATATAAAAAAAATGCATGTTTAATTATCTAGTTTAAATAGTTTAAGTTGCAATGTATTCTAATAAGAGAAAAAGAAGTTTAAAAGATGGGTTTTGCTCTTAGTTGTTCAAACTTCCAACTTCCTAAATCACACCTGCATACAAATTAATAGATTTAAGTAGTTAGTTTAAATTAAAATTAATTTTGTATATAGACACAAAGGAAAAGATGAAAAAACTAGAGAAATCGCTTTAATCACTTACCATCTTGCTATGTGGTAACATAATGACTTGAATATGAGGAGCGTGATCATCCATTTGGAGAGTTATGTATAGTACTACTAGAATTAGGAGTCTATTAAAAATATGAAATTTTATAAGAGATACATCTGCCATATTGTTGATTACAATTATGAATTTTAAATTACACAAGTATATGTACCTCCCCATTGATCATGCGTTGTGTTGTACTTATCAAATCAATAACATTATCTTCAGGAAACCACTTTTGTAGTAACAAGTATTTTCCTCCTATCCTTGAATTTTGTCCTTAAAAAATTCAACTTCTACATCACATTGCATCAATTAAGATGAGATGATGTAGCACCATATTCTTTAGTAGAAATGACGACCTTTCCCATACATCGCACACATCCTTTTTCCCAAGAAAGATGTCAATGTGAATTGTCTATACTAATAGACTCATTAAGGACTTTCCTCATCGTTTCCTGAAAATTGCAAAAGTATTACTTTCGTCTGCGTTTGGAAACAATGCAAATGGAGTGTAAATCCCAGTTCAAGGTAAATTTGCATTCTGGTTCACTTTTGCTTGTGTTTGGCAACATTACATTTATGCAGTGACAAATGACAGAAAACACATTTTCCATTGCATATTTACATTGATAATAAGATGTAAAAGTAAATTAATAAAAAAGAAGTAAATTTGCATTCAAGTGGGCTTTTGATAAAAAAAAGGCATATGCTTTATTGGAATTTGTGTTTGCATCCATTACGGCTAAAAGTCTGTTTGGTAAAAAGGTAAATTTGTCAGTGCAAACTAACCCAACTTTGCAATTTATATGGATCATTTTACACTCTACATATTTGCATCGTTTTCAAGTGCAGCCTTCACTTTTTATTAAAAGATTAGAATCAAACACAAATATATTAAACAATCCAAAAGGCTCATGTTGTATGTTAGTTGGGATTGATCAGCTTAGTGATAGAAGTGTTAACAAAACCAATTCAAATCTCCTACACCCACACGAATCCTACCCATATCTATCCACATGACACTACAGTTGTACATTGGGAACATCTTCCCATGAATGATAACATGAAAATACGGAAGATGTTCTCAATGTACAGCTGTAGCGAGGCATTGGTAGGTGTGGGTAGGAGATCTAAATTGTAACAATACAAGGAGTTCTTATCTCATTATCTCATTATGACACTCTTTGGTTCACGCTTTTTTGTTTGATCCCTGTGTTCTCTCACATTGGTCATCTTGATCTTACTCTCTCCATTCATGGACTTGCTATAAAATCTGGTGTCAATTTAAATGCTTCTATTTCTATTGCCCTCACAACTATTTATAACAGAATGAATGAAATTGAATCTAAAAGGAAATTGATGAGACTCTAGAGAGTAGAAATCAAAACATGCTGACAGAGATGACAATTTCTCTTTTCCAACAAATGCAGATGTTGAATGTCCACCCAAATTCAATCACTATTACAAGCATTCTTTTAGCTTGTGCTCAATTTGGAGCTCTCCCAAGGAAATGGGTCCATGAGTTAATAATTAGGAAATTTTGAATTTAATGTTTATGTATCAACAGCTCTGATTGATATGTATGCTAAATGTGGGATCAGAGGCATAATGTAAATTCAATAATACGTAGGAAAAAAAATGTTGTTACTTGGAACACCACAATTGCTGCATTTGGATTCCTTGGACAAGGAAACGAAGCACTAAGGCTCTTCTCTAAGAATTTCAATGTTGGGATATCCCCTATTGGAGTTACATTGCTTTTAGTTTTGCAAGCTTCCAGTCATGCTGGATTGGTGAGTGAAGGAGGAAGAAAAGGATCTGATGGTGAAGGTTCATAAAGAGAAATTGGCTATTGCTTTTGGAGTAGATGGTGAAGGTTCATAGAGAGAAATTGGCTACTCTTTTGGACTCGTTAGTTCTGAACCAGGGACTAAGATCAAGATTATCAAGAACCTAAGGGTTTGTTTAGATCGTCATAATGCAACCAAATTCATTTCCCATTAGGATGCAATTTTTGGTAAGAACATTAGGATGTGGGCCTAGGCCTGCATCAGGCTTGCAAATTTTAGGGTTGGGCCTAGGTCTAATACTTTAAGCCTGACCACATATATTTAAATATAAGTGCAAAGCCCGACCTAGGCTCGCCCCAGGTCAGCCCATGATCACCCCTAGTTGAGCCAACAAGTTAAAAACATTGGTTTGAAGCCACCCATTTCTCAAAAAAAGAAAGAAAGAAAGAAAGAAAAAAAGACTAGGGGTGATCATGGATCGAGCCAAGCTGCATTCTGGACTTATATATTTTATATATAAATAGTTACATACATACATACATATATATATATAATATTTAATTAATTATATCTCATACAATATGCATATAAAATTTGTTTATGCATTATATAATATAATGCATAAAATCAAGGTTTTTATGATCTTTTTAATTTTTGTCAAAAACATCCTTTTTCACCTCAATAAGAAAGTAAACCTATAATATATATATCTAATAATAATAATAATAATAATAATAATAATAATAATAATAATAATAAAAATATATAGTATATATCTAAAATAAAATTTTGATAGAATATATTAAAGTTATACAGTGACATACTAATTGCTCCATAAAAATTTGTTGAACTATAGTGGCTAATTAATAACAATTGGTATTTTATAAGACATATACTGATGGTATAAATAGGACTTGACAGCAAATTATTTCACTGTCGATATATTATAGAAATGAATTATATATTTTGTCAGTAGAGTGTGAACCAATAGCAGTATACTAAGATTCGTTGGTATTATATAAGACATATAGCAACCGTTTACATTTACTGGTTTTAGTGACGGTCTAATGCTTTCGTCAATACTTTACAATATATTAATGGTGCATGCAAACATCCATAAGTAAACATCACCTGTACCAACGGATTTTGATTATTAGTAAAAGTTGTGGAAAAGTATGGATTTGTCCAATGCAGATTTCTGATTTACACTGCAGGGTTATAAATATTTAAATGGATCGATACTCACATTCTCTGCACTCATGTCTGCCCATGAATTGACATTATTCCAAGCTGGCATCTATCCCGACCGTATATTGAACCTATAAATTCTGACATTGGGGGTATCGGTCATTTTCCCTAAAAGTTGTCGTTGGTATATATTGGATTTTGGCGACAAACTGATCATTCCATCGGTATTTGATAAGACATATAGTGACAAATGCATATATATATATATACATCCATCAGTACAAATCATATATACCAATGGATTGTGACCATCAATAAGGTTTCTCTCAGTCTATGTACCTTTTTTATAGTGAGGGGTGGCTGGC